AAGTCATTCAAACTGTTAGTACGCCTCATTCACAAAGCCATACTATAAGAGGAGTTTAAGGAATCAGCCTATAAAATGACCGCCATTGGGTATCTATTCTTACCCACCGCTCTCTTGTATGGTGGAGGGTCGTTAGTCGAACGAGTTTGATAGGACATAATCTCATTAAAAGTATAATGATATTAAGTAACTAAACTATTTTCTAAATCCCACTCTTGGTTACTTTAGGAAAAATATGAATTGGATGCTAATCAATGAAATTGTACATTGTACCTTATTGGTCGTTAGTGGAGTGTGTGTGGTTAACCGTCACATTAATTAGATGATAAATGATATCAAGAGTACCAAGATAATTTGCATGGTTATTCACATCTCGTTCGTGATCCTCAACATCTTAATCACAAAGTGAGAGCATAATCGAGATTAAACATGCCATTGAATAGTTCAATGAATCTCAAAGATCTAGGAGTTTCATTAGATTGAAACTGGTAAATGCTTACCTACCTAAAATAGATTCGAATTTGATTACGGCATCCCTCTTCAGAATTCAAATCGAAAATATGGATCCTAGCCTTAATTTAAAATTTGGGTTAATAATTAAGGATTAAAATCAACTAACTTGAATTCTCTTTTCTCCCATCAAAGATGTTGAGTTCAGACATAAATGATCTTCCTTGTCCTTTTGAAAATGTTTTTCCTTCTCTATCTGAAGATGATCTTCCACATGTTGATCAACGTGAAAGAATGTTCCCTTCTTCACGCATTAGTGGAACTAGAAACCATGCTTCTCAAACTCTTCCTCCAGTGACTCTCCCTAAGTCATGTCTTCTTCATGCTAAAAAATACGAAGTCACCCAAGCCCTATTGGCATGTAAAATTCAAGATGGAAATCGTACATTGACAGATTGGGGATGTTGGGTGTTGTTTTCCCAAGGGAGCTGGTCATTGACTTTGTTTTACTTTCGCTTCCTGAATCATATAGTCAGTTCATCAAAGACTACTATATGAGGGACCACGACATGAACCTAATTGATGTAACATATATGTTGATTGGTGCTGAAGCAGAAATGCTTAAGAGCACAAGTCAAGCAAAAATTTTTAATGGATCTATCTCCAAAATTTCCATGGACGTTGACAATGGCAATATTGTTAGTCCAAAAAAGGTTTCTCTTCCCAATGGAAAGGGATCGGCCAAGGTCAAATCGTTTGATCAGATGGTAAAGAGAAAGGCTAATTCTGAGATAGTCCCATGTGCTATTCCTGAAAGGTCCATATGTTTCTATTGCTTATTGAAGGGCATTGGATGCGAAGCTGCCCAGACTACCTGCAAGATTTTATAGATAATAAAGTCAAGTTGTGTGACTCTATTTCATGTATATCCACTATCTAACTCCATTAAGTTCTTATTCATAGATTCTTAATAGATGATGTGATAGTCATATTGTGAATTTTTGTTGGATCTAAGAGAAGGAAGGAAGATTAAGACGAGCGAGCTAAATCTGATCGTGAGAGATGGATTTCGGTCGCATGGTTCGATGATCAAATTTTGGAAGCTGCTCTTAGGAGTTATAATATATTAATAGATTGCTTAGGAAATTTATAGAAACATAGTTTTCATATATTTGCATTGTAAGGACAAATTTTTTTTTTTGCTTATTAATAAAAATGAATTCTTTATTTCATATTTCCTTACAATGGCATTTATGAAAGTTGGTCGTTACTTTTATATTATGATCAATGTTAAAAGTGGATTTGATTCTTAATTATTTTGTTTGTGGAAATGTCATAATCAAGCAAGTGAAAAGGAATTGTCATCACCCAATTTCAGTTGGATAGAAACTTGGAGTCATGCAATTCAAATTGTCTGATGTATGAGAATCTATATCTTTGGAAGATTATGACTAATTCCTTGATCACATGTTTATGTGAGTCAAGTGAAGGACTAAATGATCTAGTACACATTGGTGTGGACTATTTAGATACACTAGAAAGGACGATAAGTCTATTCCTAATGATTTACTGATGGTTCAGTAAATATGGTTGTGTTTATAAAATTAAGCATAATTCCAGCACTTTGAAAAGTTTCAAAGAGTAGTGGAATGAATATGAAGAATATATTAGGCAGAAAGATAAAGGTTTCTCCAATATGAAAGGATAGGAGAGTACTTTTGTATCGTGATTTATGATCATTTTAATGATCGTGGAACTATCTCTCAATTGATCCTCGAAGAACATCTTAGTGCAATTGTTTGACTAAGAAGAGGAATCAAACATTGTTGAAATTGTTTAATCGAGAGAGGAGTGATACTTCATTTCCAAACAAATTTTGGAGTCATACTCTAGTAACTACAAAACGTACCTTAAAGCTTATTCTAAACTAAGTAGGTTTATAATACCTCATTAAATATGGAGAAGTAATATTTTCTTACTGTGGCACCTTTGGAATTGGTAGTTTTAATGTTTTTGGTTAAAAACAAAGGATGAACTAAGACCAATTCAATGAAGTGTTTTCTTGACAAGAATCCACACTAACCACTACTAGAAAAACAGCCTTTCACGACGCGCAATCAATGACACGCGCTGATAGAGGACGGGAATTTGTGCGTGCCCTAAAAATTGATGTCAGTTTTCCAATATATGAAGCATAGAGGGCACACATTTTTGCGTGCCCTTAAATTAGTGTCTAATAAAAATAAAAAAAGCACGGAGGGCACCTTAAATAAAATGTGCGTCGTCTAAACATGTCGTTTTATAAATTTTAATGAAACGCACGTTTCATCTCTCATGGGGGGAAATGAAATCCAAAAAATTAAAAACCCCGCTTTGTTTCCACCGGCTGAAAACCCTAGCTCGTCCATGTCGAAAACCCGCTTTCTTTCTTTCTTCGCTCTTGATTCTCAAACATCCACCGCTTCACTTCTCCACATCGTGCTCAAAGTAGCCGCTCACGTACCCGACAGTGGTCCATGTGTCACATACATCGGCGAAGGCGGTTCCGACAATTTCGTCAAAATGGTCCACAACGGAATCGATTATGGTGACATGTAGCTGATTTCCAAAGCATACAACATGTTGAATCCATTGGGAAACTCTTGAACAAGGAACTACACAAAGTGTTCTCGGAATGGATTCTAGGGGGATCTTCAAAGCTTCTTGATTGAAATCATCGCAGACATCTTCGAAATCAAGGACGACAAGGGAGACGAATATCTAGTCGACAAAGTGTTGGATAAAACAGGCATGGAAGAGACCGGAAAATGGACCGTCCAACAAGCGGCGGATCTATCAATCGTTGCCCCCACAATCACGGTGTCTCTGGATTCGTGATTCCTGAGCGGATTAAAAGAAGAACGTGTTGAAGCTGCTAAGATCTTTAAATACGGTGGGTTCGGTGATATTTTGGACACTCAAAATGTGGATAAACGATAAACCGGTTCTTTCACGCCGTCAACAAACATTCTATCGGGTTCGTAATTCCTTTCTAAATCTTGGGTTTTAATCTTTAAATCTCAATCTTCAATTCGGAATTACGAAATTGAAATTGTGCATATTCTTTTTATGCAGGGACATGACTACTTCAAAATTGACCTAGATATACATCGATTCAGCCACATCTCACGAAAAGTACTTGATGCATTCCAGGGACGATTGAAACATGGGATTCTTGGCATTGGTTTAACGATTCAGGTAAATTGGGTTTCTGGTTTTTGAATATGAAATTGGATTTTGTGTTGTGATTCATAAGTTGAATATATGTATTTGATTGGATTCTCAATTTTTAGGCACAACATCCTAAAGAACTACCCGAGCAAGTTTTATGCTGTGTTAGGCTTAACAAGATCGACTTTTCTGATCATGGTCAAATCCCAAGAATTTTAATACCAAAGTAGGAAAGGTGCAGCCCTGATGGATATATTAGCAGAAATGCCAAAGTTCCCTGAACGTGAGGCATATTTAGTTTAGGGTTTTAATTGATCTATTGGTTTAATAGTTGACCACATCTTTGATAATTGATGTTGACTTTGATTATCTATTTGAAGTCCTCATTGATTAAGAAAGCAGAAGACGCTGAAGTTGATACGGCAGAGCTAAGCTGATATTGTAGAGCTAAGTCCTCATTAATACTCCACAACTTGGTATGGTTAAAATCCCCACCGTTGACCATAATTTTGTGAGTGTCTTGGAAAAGGACTATTATACCCTTTTTGCAGGTAGGAAGCTAATCATTTTGCAGATCTTATGTTATGGTGCCCTGGATTCTGCAGAACTAAGGGCAGAAATAGACAATCGTGAAGAAGTTGAAGTGGGACCAGATCCAGATGCAGTTCTTGCATTCACTGAACCTGTAAAAGACACACCTATAAAAAGACAAGGCCGCCCTCCTAAAACCCCTTTACCCAAAGATCAAGAACCTGTAAAAGATATTCCTATTCCTAGTATTTAAAACCAGAACCTCTACTCATTCAGCTAGGATCACGCAAAACCTAGTAACACAAAACCAAAAAAGGTTATCTTTTTTTTTTTTATGATTTTCCCAAAATACCCTTTAATTAATTAACTAATTAATGATGTTAAATTCGGAAGCTAACCTTGCAGAAAGGGATATTAGCACAGATGATGCTTAAGCATGCTGCTCGACTAGGTAAAACTTTTTTTGAATCAATAGTGTTAAAAATCATATACCCAATTCTTTTTTTTTTCATTTCTGATGTTAGATGTATGAGAAATAGAAGAGTTCACAGTTTTAGCAATTTGCGTATCTGAAATTCTTGAAGTTTGTTGCGATTTCAATCTAGATTCTTGTAATGAGGTCATCTGATTTATTCTTTCCTGTTTTTCTTCTCTTCTATTTGTTCTTGAAGTATTTAAATGCACTTCTTGTTTTTCATTTCTGATGTTAGATTGCATATGTGAAACATAAGAGTTCTTAATTTTAGCAATTTGGGTATCTGAAATTCTTGAAATTTGTTGTGATTTTACTCTAGATTCTTGTAATGAGGTCATCTGATTGATGGTTTCACTGGCACTGCATGTCCACTTGGAGCTAAAGGCATATTAAGTTCCTCATTTAGATCGGGCTCATTATCAGGTTGAGTATATGAAGGTACCCCTTCACCTTCAGTTTCTTGACCCATGTCTGCCTCCAAAGCATCAAGTTCTGAAACATTTCCATGAAGTGAAGATAACATTTTAAAAAAGAAAAATAATAATAATGAATTTGTGCTTACGACCCATGATATCATCTTCATCAATATCATCTGGCACACTAAACTTCTACCAAGAGATTCTTGTATCTCACTGCTTATATCCATCATGTCCATCATTTCATCTTGCAAATTCTAAACATAAAAACAAGATTAAATGGTCTGTAATTACAAAGTATCAAAAGAAAGAGATTCATAATATTATACTAACATCAATGTCTTGTATCTTCACAGTTTTCATCAATCCTTTCAGCTCTTTGTTTGATCCCATTTGTAGCAAATGCTTGATAATTGTGACACATACTGTTTGCTGAGCATCTTTAATACCTTCTGAAGCGAATGCAACTTGATCCAGGTTGAATGTTTGATTGTACAACATATCACGTTGTCCTTCATACCTGCTCAAGTATAACTTACTTTCATTATCAACTCTACAGTAGATCCAAAAATTCGAGGAGGTTATCTTGCCTTCACTTCTCAGGTAGGTTTTTTAATTCATACCCATGTTCAAAATTCAAACATATGTGATCCTTTTTTATTAAACATTTAAAATGCTATAAAGTTTATATGTTATTGTGTTGAAGGACTCGCCTGGTGTACTTCATTTGAAAAAATTATCAGATGCTGGCCTCACACATAATTTGGAAGTCTGTAGGTAAGAAAAACTCTTCATTTCCTTCTTTCTTATTATTCAGATTTTACAGTGTATGATTCTATGATTTGGATTGCAATGAAAAAGTTTAGATACGGAGATGCTTAAATCTCTGCCACCAGATTCACCTGAGCAACAGGAGTACATCACAGTCATCCAAAATGAGGATGGATATAACTGGGGGTAATTCTAATTCATGCTCTTTAATTCTTGATTCTAAAATTTGATTTGTTCTAAAAATTGAAAATTTACTCTTTTTTTTTTTCAATAAGAAGTTATAATCCTGTGTTATGGGGAGTCCCTAAAGGAAGCTATTCAACTAACCCTAATGGTTCATGTCGTATAATAGAGCCTCGCCTTATTGTTCATATTAACTTTTGTTTTCAATAAAAAATTAAATCAAACATGGTTCTGTAACTTTTGATCATATTAACTTTCTTTTTAACTATGATTACAACATGGATGCACTATGTGGTCCTGATGGTGAACTTCCAGAGAAGTTAAGGAATTTAGAGCCACGCCTTATTGAGCACATTAGTAATGAGCCTCGTCTTATTCAGAAGCCTTATGCTATAATTATTTTACAAGAGCAATGGCCATTTATGTAATTTTATCAGTGCCTAAATCTTGTATCAAAATGCAGATTGTACAATTGACAGCATCCGGAAAATTTGAGGAAGCTTTGGCATTGTTTAAGCTACTTGCACCAGAAGATTCAAACCTTCGAGCCTCAAAGTAGCAGTCAGTTCATATCAGGTAATATTTGTGGACCTGAGAAGTTTTTTGGATATGAGTGGTAAAGTTTACTTATCAAGAGCTTCATCTGGTATGTCAGATGACATGGACACTTCTTCACCTTCTCATACAGTGAAGAGGTTATATCAGATGCTGTTGGACACACCCATGAAAGCAATCGATCCAAAAGATCAAACAAGGTAACAGTTTAACATTATTTAGAGTGAAGAGTATTAAAAATTTTGATATTTTTTTTTAATTTTCAGGGGAGAGTCAACATGCCCCTTGACTCAGGTGCTGGAGAGATGGCATTAATATTAGAGAGATGGGATCTCTGGGAATCTTCAAAAGGAAATGGTATGTTACTCTTTGATAATGTCAACATCATTCATCAATTATGTTGTGGGGTGAGTAGACTGCATATAATGATGTTCGAACTTTTATAAAGATTCCTAAATCATATTTGAAGTTTCTTTTGTTTACTCTTCATGAAGGGGGTTCTAGAAGCAATTCGTATAAGCTGTACAGGGTACGCTACCAACAAGGCTTTTGTTGATTTTGTTAAGCAATTTGGTCTTCTAGTTCCCGAAGTTTTAAGATCAAAGTAAGTAAAATTGATTAAATCCTAATGGATTTGTTTACTTATCACTTGCTAAGCAATTTGATCTATATATTTCTTGCAGTTCAATCGTCACCAATGATCCAAGTCGACCTCGATCTACATTAAGGTCACCGTGGGTTGTTAGTTTTATAGGAATGCATAACCCATGTTAGAAATGTATTATTTTTGTTTAACATTTGAATGATCGTTTGTATGACATATTATAATTTATGCAATTTATTATTTTTTTTTGTATGAGATTTTATTTTATATTATGAGACATTAAATGTGTCATGTAATTTGAAAATTAGTAAATTTATGTAAATCTATAAATAATTTTTTTTTTTTTAAAAAAATAAAAGTTACGATACGCAAAAATGTGTGTCATCTTCATTTATGACATGACCTTTCTTGACAGCGGCTTTAATGATACGCATTGCGTGTCATAAATGCGCATCGTAAATGCGCGTCGTCTCTAGACGACGCGCAAAAGTGTGTCGTCTCTCGTTATTACAGGGCCTTCCTTGACGTGCATTTGCGCGTCGTCTGAGCGTTTTACGATGCGCAATGAGCGTCGTAAAATGCTGTTTTTCTAGTAGTGAACTTTTGAATATTTGTTTTTGGTTGTTGAGGAATGTTTCTTAATAGAAAAACGTATATGTCAAGAAGTTAGTGGAAGTCTTATTAATCTTGAAAATTTTCAGGAGTCAATCAAGAATAAACTTTTTAGTTATCACTAGCACACGACCTGAGGTTGATAACCTATCGTGTTAAGTTGATAAATTATTGTTTCTGTGCATCTTCCAGTTGAATTGGAAATGCTTATGAGTGTTATGGTTCTCATTTGACTACAAAAGGCAAAGCACGTCGGTCAGTGATAATACATTGATCAATATGGAAGTGAGCTGCTCAAACTGTTGGATTAGGTGTCTAAGTTCATAACTATTTATGGTATGTACTTGACCTGGTTGGCATGGTCCATTTCAGTTGCATGGCATCATGACACTTGGATAGACAAAATGAGAAAAGGACACTTATGGTTTATTAATATATTATAAGTTCAAATATATTAATAATATTATTTAATTAGTATTGATCAAGAATTAATTTGGTGATCAAAAAGAGACTAATTAAATATATGGGGTTGATTGTGTAAATCATCCATTCTTATATAGTGGGCTAATGATCCATGGTTTATTGGATTGGGCTAAATCCATAGGGTGCTCCATGGAGGCTAAAACCCATGCATCATGGAGGAAATGAAAAGCCATGTCAATTAGGGTTTACATGGTGTAATCCTACTTGTGACACACTATATAAAGACCCCATGGACTACCAAAATCGGCACTAAGTGAAGAACAAGAGGGCTAGCCAATTTTGAGTGTTTGTGTACTTCTCTCAAAGTTATTCCAAGAGTTGTGGTGTTGTGTGAAACACTTGAGGCATCACATTTGGGGTGCTAGGCTCACAAAGTTCTTAAGGAATCCAAGCAACAAGAAAGGTAAGTTCTTCTACTAGTATTTATGTTTCAAACTCCCCATGCTAGTTAGGTTAAGAACCTTGGAAAAATCAAATTTGCATGTATCTTAGTAAAACATAGATCCAAGGTTTATAGGGTTGCATGTACACTTTAGGAGTGTTAGAATGCTCAAAACCCTTCAGTGGTATCAGAGCCTATTCTTATTTTCTTGATACTTGATGCAAATTGTTGAAGAAAGTCGAAATTTCTGCATTCTGCAGAGTGAACTCACCGAGTCCATGCATATATTCATCCTACTCGTCGAGTAGGTTCATGCACTCGATGAGTAGGAGGCCCAGAGTGCAATTTTTCGAGTTTTGCTGCTGGAAATGGACTAAAATCATTACCCTAAACTGTTTTGGACTTATAAAACCTGTTTTTGATGTGGTAATGATTAAGCTAATCCATTTACAATGGTTATTATCAAAGTTTCAAGTTTTATATGTGTTTATATGATTCTTGAAATTATTGATATGAATGTTCATACACTTATGAGTTTCGTAGATCATAAGAATTATTTGCAAAATTGTTTGTTAGTTTAATTCTTGATCTAAATGTTTTTAATAGAATCCATAATTTGTCGTCAAGTTTTGGATTACCAAAAGTCTTTCTTTTAAAGTCCATTAAAGAACACATAGGTTACATAAAATGAAGAGTCTTCATTTTAATAAACTGTTAACTCATAAGTTATGAAGTTGAAAAGTTTTGAATTGTTACAAAAATTTCCCTCAAGTTTTGGAACATGTAAAGTCACTTTAGAAAACTTTAGTTCCAACCCCTAGAATTTTAAAAGTTAAAATTCAACCCTTATACTTTATAATATTATAAGTTAATTATATATATATATATATATATATATATATATATATATATATGTATGTATGTATAAGAACAAGTCGTTTTACCGTTAGTAGGCCTCATTCATGAAGCCGGTCTATAAGGGGGGTATAAGGTTGTTGCCTATAAAATGGCAGCTTAATGGGTGTCCACTCTCACCCACCGCTTCCTTGACTGGTGGAGGGTCATTAGCCAAACGGGTAGGACAATGGCTTTAATTCTCATTACAAGTATAATGATTATAAAGTAACTAAATGTTTTATAAATTTCCAATCTTAGTTACTTTAGGAAAATGTGAATTTGGTGCTAACCCATGAAATTACACTTTGAACCTTGCTTAAGTCGTTAGTGGAGCGTGTGTGGTTAACCGACACATTAACTTGGATTTAAAAAGGTTGGAAAAGGGTGGTTTAAGGTTTATCATAGATCGGTGGAGCGCGTATGGTTAACCAGCACATCGATTAGTTGATAAACATTAAGAGTACCAAGTAAATTTGCATGGTTATTCACACATTGTTTTGTGATCCTCGACATCCCAGTCACAAAACTTGAAGGACACAATCGAGATTGAAACACGCCATTGAAAAGTTCAATGAATCTCAAAAGAATCTAGGAGTTTCAAAAACCAATTAAAACCTAATAATACATTTTGTTTTTCATGGTGGAAATTAGTGAATCATCATTCACATACCTTCAAATACCTTATAGCTTGGATTATGACATCCCTCTTCTAAGTTATAAAATATTGTGTTGGGTCCTAACCTTAATATTATATTTGGGTGTCTTATTAAGGACTATTTTAATATCTAATCTAAACTTGTCTTTCTTCCTTTTCAAATGTCTTCCAACAATGCTGCTTCTGGCTCAAACCCTACCGACTCCTTCTCTCTCATGAACCTTTGTGGGAAAGTCATCTTTGATTAATGATTGGATTAGGAACATAAGGATGGTCACTCGCTATGAGGACAAGGAATATGTCCTCGACAAGGAGCCGAAGGAACTTGATGAGTCTTCTGCTACTCCAGAGGAGATCGC